AATAACAACAGTAAGGGAAATCATTAGGAAAGGTTAATCTTAGTTGTGATCCAGTATCAACGGCAAAGATACAATTTCGATGAGCTTTACAAAACCTTTTTTCTCCAGCACAACTGGATATATACCAAGGAAAAAATCATAATTCATCAATCAGGAAAAAGTAAAGGCTATTTTGCTAAAATGTTAAACAGCTAAGTGATCGAAATTGCTTGCAGAAGGTAGAAAAAGAAACAAGCTATTATGGTAGGTATCAGAACAGTGAGCAGAGTAGGGTAACAAAGCGAGGTTTTAGCTTCAGAAGCAATATTCAGGTGTTAGATAACAAGCAGTTCAAGCAATATACCTGCCATAGAAAGCAGCCCAGTGAAGTGCTGTCCATCCATTCACATCACGAAAATCTATACTGATTCCAGAAACTATAATTGGCTGAAGGGCCCAATTGAACCCAAGAGCAGCTGACAAGTGCAGAACACCTTGACCCCATTCATCAAGAACCGTTAGGCCCTTGCCATCCTCAGTTACTCGGTGCACAAGCCAAGAGTAAAACTTCTCCTTTAGCTGCTTCTCAAGGAGTACTTGAGCACTCCCCTTCCGCACTGATGTGTCGTCTGTAATCATCTTTATTTCCTGGTTATTCTCCTCCTCCATCATAGAAACAATTTTATTGACTATATTCTGTCTCTCGGAGTCATTTCCAACAAAATTTACTGAACTAGCAGCAGGCCCACGGGACAATATCATCTCAAATCGCTGATAAAGATGCATGACAATTGCAGTATCTGCATGGCCATAAACAGAACCCATAGGGTGCGTTGCAGGCCTGTATTCAAATTCTCGCACTTCACTACAGGCCAACCTGTTCGAACAAGTCACATAGAATGGGACAAGTCCAGGCTCGTGAGGTGGCGCCAGGCAACAAAGAACTCCATCTGCAAAAACTTCAGCTGCAACCTCCTCTTGACCAAACATAATTGACCATCTGCATTTTGACAACTCTTGTTTACTCTTGAGAAAGATTCCAGTGATAAGCACCTGCATGTGGCAAATAAAATGTATTAATTGTAAAACTGACAACAGTGATAAACATGGTACATGAGTTCCGAAGTGTACCATAGCAACATAACACCACGCATATCTGTTCACGAGATGATGAAAAAAATCCATAAACAAAATATCTAGCAAACTAATAAAGCATCATAAGAAAAACTAACAATAGTCACCCCATACTATGGCAGATAGAAGCAGGACGGACATACTTGGTTAAATGATAGTGTAGGTCGCAGTATTAAGACAGATACAAGGTGAAATCAATAAGTACCTTGGTTTCCAAGTCTGCATAAGCATAGTTTGGCAAACACTCAGTAATGCTGAACAGCTGGTCCTGAGAAATTGACGGGTTCAGTGTGTCTGTATCCGCTTGCAATGTACCAGGCATATTAGAGTCGTACTCATTCCCCATGATACTCCATGAAATTCCATTATCCGAGTGCAAATTCAGTTCACCAGATCCTCCAAGTTCATTAGCCATCCAACGGGAAAAGCTGTCAACTTTTTTTAGGCTTTCATCCTTCTGCAAGCCACTTATCAATGGCTTTTTCATAAGAATTGAGTAGTTTTCATTTCCTATCATACTCAGAACATTCTCCACATTTGGATTTATATTGTTTCCAGTCTCTGCATCTAAAAGAGGCAATTGAAGATTCTTTTGCACAGACTGCTCATGAGGAAGGATGCAAAATGGCTCCACAAAATTCTGTTGATTCAGTGGAAGAGATATTTCCTCAAAGTTACGTCCATGATCACGAGGCAAACTCGGCATCGAGTTTTGGTTTGTGGATGGGTTGTGCAACGAACCATCTCCAAAGGAATGCTGTCCAAGAAATCTAAAAATCAATTTGGGAACATATTGAAAATAAATAAATAAATAAAAACGTAATCCAATGTAATATACAATGAATACGAGCTGGTATCTACATATGGAACCACAACCATATACGCCTAAACTTCAGTTCAACTGTATCAAAACTGGGTGACATTTTGTGTGGCCCATCAAAAAGCCATTTAAGTTGTTTGCATGACTTTATCAGCTGATCAGTGGTTCTCAATTTAGGGAACTTTGAATACTGAATTGCTGATGCTCAAAAAAGCAAGAGGAGGTGAAAAGTGATTCGCTTTAATCATAAATAGAGAGCCCTAGGTGAACCCTATTTGTCAAACACTGAGCAGGTCTTCAATTATTCAGTGCTTGATGAACTTTTATTCCCCATGATGATAGATGACAGAATTATCCAATAATTTCCGAATAGAGCACACAAAAGGCAATTAATTGTACATTTTCTGGAATTTTAGTTTTCCCACTAGATTGAAACCCATGCCAATTTTGGGAAAAGGAAAAGGAAAATGACCTAGGTTATAAAGATATATAGTTGTGCGCATGCTGTATAGTAGTAGAGCAATCATCAGGTCGCCTTATTAGCTGGTTCTCCATGTAAAACCATCATGCTTTACTTATGGAT